CTAGAATCTTTCTCCACAAAATGGTTACAGCCAGGTACGAAGCACCCTCCCATAGCGCGAGTCAGCAAACAAATTTTGGGATCTCAGCCGATCGCCTGAAGTGCTTTTCTCACGGGTGCATTGCGATCTTTTGCAAGCGATCATCTCGATCGACGCTCGGACTTTTGATAAAGCATATTTTGCATCGCACCCCACTATGAATTCTTATAAGTGTCTGAAACTCATTATATTTCAAACAAATGCAATATCAGAATATCGTCTTTATCCTCACGATTCAAACGCCGGCGCCGGCTTGGCCGGCAGGCGTGTGGCAGACGGCCTACTTCTTGCATTCGTCATCTGCTGTAGGCATCTTCAGGACCGGAAGTTGCAGTCGTAAATATTTCAGAAACAATTGATTACCGGCACACTTCTGTCGAAACATATGGCATTCAAGCTGTGATTTTTAGAAGTTTAAATCCTACTCCTGGGGCCGCTTGCTCGAACGAGTTGAGACACAACTTGAGACAGTCTCAGCCGAGACCGAACCTGAGCCACTTGCTCGAAGCGAAACTTAGTCTGGACTTGAGACTGAAACCGAGTCTCTGACTCAACTTGTGTCTCAAGCCGTGAGACAGCCCCGTAGCAAATTAGCTGGCGGCCGATTTAAGACCCAAACTGAGACCCAAACGGAGACCGAAACTGAGACAGTCTCAGCGGTTAGCCACTTGCTCGAAACGAAACTTAGTCTGGACTTCAGACCAAAACCGAGTCTCTGACTCAGCTCTAGTCTCAGATCGTGAGACAGTAACGGAGGACGCTCACTGGCGGTCTCAGAGTAAACAAAATGTCGGACGTGGCCACGGCGGCCACAAGACACCGGCTCCAAACAATCTTCGCCGCATGAATGCACTCCGCGGCACCGTCGGACCGTGTTTTCCAGGACCGATTTCGCCCCCTCGACGCTTCTGACGAGGTTTCGGTTTCGCCGCGACGGCAACATGCGCATCACCGGAGTCTTGGAGGTAAGAAAACAGTCTTATTTCTGACATTCCTCTTCGACTATATGTTACATTTATTAAGCGGCCAGCTGCGAAGTAATTTTGGAGCAATCGAGACTTTTGTTTTCGTCAGTTAAAAGCCTCTTCTGATCAACATGCAGCGCCGTCATTGCGTCCTCAAAACGTTGTGTAGTGGTCCTTCCCCAAACTCTCTCTATTTTTTATTGTCTTTGGTGTGGCACGGTCTTTCGTATCACGGTGAATTTCTCATTACGAAAACAGTTTTGAAATAACGAGTTTCACAACTTGTCACTGGAAACAGCTGGTGGATACTTGAGTGAGTTTTGAAAAAGAGCAGATTCTTCAAAACAGTAGCGAATGACATGTATTGATCATATCTCGCGGCAAGCTTCGTTCTTTTGAGGACTATATCGGCAATGGAAACTTCTATAGTAGGTATTCAACTGACGGTGTAAACCACGTTTGCTCCTTCGGGTGGTCAACAGCAGCGGAACTCCCCGAACTGCAGCAGAAGTTTTACGCCATGGGCGTCTTTCCGGGCGTCGTCGGAGTCATCGACGGCACCCACGTTCGGATCCAAGGGCCGCCGTGCACGAGGAACTGTTCGTGAACAAGCACTACGGTCACTCCATCAACGTACAGCTGTTTGTGGACGCGCGCTCGAGGATCCTGAATGTGGTGCCATGTGACCCGGAAGCATCCACGATTCCTACGTGCTGTCGCAGAGCAGTGACGGGGAGAACGTCGCGACGGGCGCGTACGGCGGCCTCCTAATAGGCCATTGCGGCTACCCGTGCAGGGCGTGGGTGATAGCGCCTTCCCGATCGCCAACTGCGCCAGTGGAGTGTGCGTACAACCAGGCTTACGGAACAACACGGTTTGTAATCGAAAGGTTGGTGTTATGGAGAGCTGCGTTCAGAAAAACTGTGTCTGTGAGATGTCTCAGAGCTACCTTTTTCTAAAGCGCAAAGGGCACGCTGCGCATTGAATAGCCAGGCTATGAACAAACTGGTTTATGTGCACAGTGTACCCTAAGATAGCCACCATGCCAGGTTGTAGATAAAATTTGATTGTAGCCAGACTGCACCGAATGCCAAACAGCAGCAGTATCATGGGGCCTGGCAAAAGAACTGCTGAGTACAGTTGTATCGAGCATCACAATAAGTGGAGTCAAGGGTTCTGTTTGTTGTTGTTACCCCACAGACAATGAACTGAAACACCCGATCCTGACTTCTCTGTGTCCATGATCCTCACAGGTCCAATTACCTCAGTTTGTTAGATTTATAGCTTTTGGGTACATCACGCTGTTTTCTGTTCTAAAGGGTGCGGTACGTTCCGAGTATCTTAATTTTGCGCCTCCGTCAATGAGCTTTCGACTTTTGCCGGTAAGAAATAATTGCAAACCTAGAAGCGTGACCATATTAAGAGACACTCTGCGTTTCTTACGCTGTCAGACACGATAATGACGACGTTAATATTTCTGATGCCAATGTGGGGTCAACTTTCTGTGGAAATACCAACGAGGTAGAGGGGCTTAGAGCGATAAACCGGGGTTCAGGTCTGCACTCGAAAGTGACCCCCATAAGGAGGCTGCCATTGTACGCAAATGTGACCACTCTTCACATGACCAACCCAAATACGTGACGTCAAAGAAAAGATGGCAGCGCCCATGGAATGCGGGGGCCGTTAGAGAACTGGGCGACTTGATCCGAGGAGAGGAACGCGAATCGCGGCATAGGACCGGTTTAATACCATTTCTACGTTTTTCTTGCTCTCTCACGTAGGTATAACATGAGAATTCCACAGCCCGCGTCTTTTCGTCGGGTTTTCGCTCGTAGTTGACGTGATTCTCGCGAAAGAGTAATACAAAATGAGCCGCACGTTGGTCGGTAATCGCCAAGCGTTGTTTGAACGTCAGTTGAACATCACAGGTTTGCTGTGTGCATCACGCGTGGAAGAACAATTTTGGAACGACAGCAAGCAACTCAAGTCCACTGGAGAAACCCTGTCGGGATTTATTGCAGTCGCCAAATCACCCTGCCGTCGCAGTCTTCCACCGGAACAGAGCAGCTTCTTTGGACTTCACGATGCGTGCCTTGTAGCGAGTTCGGTGAGTGGTTTCTGTCCGCCAGTATCCCATTGGTGCGAACTCTTCTTTCTTCGGCTGCTACAAAGCTCTGTGTTTCCCGGAATGGACGCGATGGTGCCGTGCAAAGTGTCTCGACTGCCGTTGGGTCGCCTCAGCAAGTCGCCAAATCGCCTAGTCCTCCACCGGAACGACGCAGCTTCTTTGGGCTTCACGACGCGTGCCTTGTAGCGAGTTTGGTGCGAGTCTTTTGTCTGCCCGTGTCCCTTTAGTGCAAACACTTCTTCCTTCGGCTGCCCCAAAGCTCTTTGTTTCCCGGAATAAACGCAATGGTGCCGTGCAGAGTGTCTCGACTGCTGTTGTGTCCGCCTCGGCCAGACGCAAAATCGCCAAGTCTTCCACTGCAACGAAGCAGCATCTCTGCACTTCACAACGCGTGACTTGCAGCGAGTTTGGTGCGAAGTTTCTGTCTGCCCGTCTCCCATCAGTGCAACCTCTTCTTCCTTCGGCTGCCCCAAAGCTCTATGTCTCCTAAAATGGATGCAGTGGTGCCGTGCAGAGTGTCTCGACTGCCGTTGTGTCCGCCTCGGCCAGACGCCATATCGCCAAGTCTTCCACTGGAACGAAGCAGCTTCTCTGCACTTTACGACGCGTGACTTGCAGCGAGTTTGGTGCGAGGTTTCTGTCTGCCCGTGTCCCATCAGTGCGAATTCTTCTTCTTTCGGCTGGCCTAAAGCTCTGTGTCTCCCAAAAAGGATGCAGTGGTGCCCTGCAGAGTGTCTCGACTGACGTGTCCGCTTCAGCCAGACGCCAAGTCTTCCACTGGAACGAAGCAGCTTCTCTGCACTTCACGATGCATGCCTTGTAGCGAGTTCGGTGAGAGGTTTCTGTCTGCCAGTGTCCCTTTGGTGCGAACTCCTCTTTCTTCAGCTGCTACAAAGCTCTGTGTTTCCCGGAATGGACGCGATGGTGCCGTACAGAGTGTCTCGACTGCTGTTGTGTCCGCCTCGGCCAGATGCCAAATCGCCAAGTCTTCCACTGGAACGAAGCAGCTTCTCTGCAATTCACGACGCGTGACTTGCAGCGAGTTTGGTGCAAGGTTTTTGTCTGCCCGTCTACCATTAGTGTGAAGTCTCCTGAAGGCTGACCGTTGGCCGAGTGTGTTTGTGCACTACAGCTTGGAGTATGTGGAGCCAAAGCTCACACCACAGAACCCAGATGTCTGGTGTTCAATCCCAACCTCTGCCCATTTTGATGTCAATGAGCATTGCATCGGCGTCCAGTCGTATTTCCCTACTGCGTAATGCTTGTTAAAGACCCCTAGACTAGCAGTGGTGCTGCACTAGCTAAACTTGTCATCTAAGCATAGATGCTGCCGTCCATTGGGGCTAAGTGACTTCCCTCTGTCTAAACATACAAAACACCACTCTTCTCCCCTTTCTTCGGACGAATGCTGGTGGCCGTTGAGCTGTCACAATCTCTGGTCAGTCAAACTATGAAGGCCTCTTGGTCTCTCTGAACATCGTAGCTTGTAAAGATTCAGAGGCGGTAAAAATGTTTCAGAAGTTGCTTTTTTCTGAAATCATGTTTCTTTTGGTGTGTCCCACCACGTCTTTATGTATGCATTCTGTTGAAGAGAAAAAGTTCTTAGTGCTTCTTCCTCGGTGCTCTAATGCAGCCATGGCCTTGTTACTGCCCTCGAGAGATGACCAACTTCGTGAAAAGCTGTCGGAAAACCACCCTCTTTCAGCAGCGCTTTGCTGATGGCACATGTGGTGTATTTGCAGCTTGAAGTTGTACCCCAGCATTGTCTTCATCATGATAGCACAGTGGGAGTATGATCAGTTGTCTGAGCGAGAAATGGATGATCAAACCTCCTGAAAAGTGGGGTCTTGGGGGCAATGCCAATTGTCTCAGTCTGCAGCTTTGGGAGCCAGTTTCGGCCTCTTTTGGCCACCTTGTCGAAGGTTCGCCGAAGCACCTTTTTTTTCTATAGTGCACAAGTGCAGGACATTCTGGGTGAGGCTGTGGAGGCCACCAGCATCTTCGGCAAGCACCAGTCCACGTTTGTCGCTTGTGACCAGCACAATCATGGAGCATTCTGGACACTTGGTTACTTTGGAAAAGTTTACGGCCACCTTCCCTGCGATAAACTCAACAACAGACTCAGCAAACTGAGAAAGTGGCGTGTAGGAATTTGTCTCGTGGGTGCCTTCACCTGTGGCAGCTTCAATCTCTTGATTGGACTTGCTGGTGGCAACCTGACGAGCTGACAAGGAGTGTTGCGGTGCCGTCGACCTGGCAGTTGCCTCGGGTTGAGGGCTGGACATTGGCGACCAGGCACTTCCTATAGGCAGAGCGGAACTCGAGTGTTGTTGGGTTGTCGTTGTTGCCCGTCTTGTTATGCACAGTCGCAAAGAACAGCTCCAGGTGGTCCTGGCTGAGCTTCCTCGTCAGCAGGCACCTGAGTGGTGGACTTGGGCCCCAGACCAGGTCTTCAGCGAGGCCCTTATTGGACTCCAGGACGAGCCGGAAGCCGAGGATTGGAGTCTTCCTTGCTCCTTGACTCAGTGGCTGGCCCGTGAAGTCCTTCAAGCCTCGGAGGCAGTGTAAAGCCTGGTCAATGCGTGTCAGCATGGCGTTCTTGTTGACGGCTCGAATGGGGGCCTTGCTTCCATGACCAAGTGGGTGACAGGAGTTGCTCAGGTCGAAGATGTTGTCGACTGCTGCTGCAAACTCTGTGGTGGCCTCCACTCCCTCGAAGCCTCGAATGCCCTTCTCCTTACAATACAGCAAGGCACAGCTCACTGACCGACTCAGGGTTTGGGCCGCCAGGGAGACCTTCATTTTTTTTTGCGCTGGAAATCAATGTGTTTCTTGCTTAGCTTGTTGGCAGCATGAAGGCCCTCTCGTTGCTGCAGGCTGTCCAGGGCCTCGAGATATTTTCATGCGACGACCCTACCTGCCCCATCCCTGATGCATTGCTTCTCGGCGAGCACGTTGCGCATTAGTTTCAGCATGTGGCAGGCATCCAAGAGTCCATACACCCTCCTGGAGGGGTCAGAAGGGTTGGAAAACCAGTTTTCAGCGGCGGAGCAAAGCACACTCCAAGTGCTGTCAACATGGAAATGTTGCAGTTGGTGCCGTCGCATGTCACGCTGATGCACTCTGCTCCGGCCTCCTCCAGCTTGGTGATATACTGGCGCACAAGGTTGGCCCGAATGTTGCCATGCAGGCCATCAATGAGGGCAGAGCCCGATGGGATTTTCCAGCTTTTGTTGACTGCGACTGCCAGAAACACAAGTGCATGCTTGGCATAGGCGACGCAGTCGTTGTTGAGGATGCCGTGGCCCAGGTCACAGTACCCGATGACCTCTTTGCCATCCCAATCGACTTGTTTCTTGATGCTCATCTCGTCAACCATCAAGCTGACTAGAACTCGTCCCTTCTGAACTTCTTGTGTTACTCTGTTGAATGACTCCCTGGTGAAGCCTGGGTTTCCATCGATCACCACGGCCCATTTGCGAAGAGCACTTGCGTGTGGCAGCCCAACGTGCTTCCGCAGGAACTTGTATGCTTTTGCCGAGTAAAAGTGTACCGTGAGGGCAAACTTGCGCACATCCTCTGCGTACATGTTCTTTGGTTTCCTGGATCTCCTCAGGACAAGGTTGCGCATCTTGTCTGTGAAGATGTCAACGATGTTGACTGCTGACCCAGGAAGCCTCCTTCTCAGCTCTCGGAGAAGGACGTTCAGCTTTTCTATCCTGGCCGTCTTTCTGTTGACCTTCTTCTTTGCCTGTTTAAGCAATTTTCTCGCCCTCTGCAGCTTCCGCCTATTGCTACGCAGAAGATCCCTGTGCTGTCGTGGCGATACAACTGAATAGTTGTGATCACCGGAACAAGCGTGGCGCCACACACATATCTTCGAGCGTGGCATCAGGTGTTGACTCCGCACTGCTTCCAGGTCCAGTCGCAGCGCTGGCTTCGTGACACCCCACAGACAGATATTCGGGAATGGTCTCGAGTGTCGACTTAGCAGTGCTTCCCGGTCCAGTGGCGGCGCTGGCTTCTGGAGCCTCCCCGGAGCTTGGTAGAGTGGTCGACGAGCCAGGCTGCCTCTCCATAGGAGAAGACCTGCCAGCAGAAAAAAACAAAAACAAAAACGGAATCACTACAGTTTACCTAATCTTGGGCAGCTCTCTTGGTGCATAATTTTTGTCTTGGCAATGCGGAGCGCAGGTTCATCGACTTCTTTTGCAGGGGTTGTGGTGGCGTCGGAACGTCAAGCTTTGATTGGTTGTAATTAAAGGATAGTCGGCAGACTAGAAGGCATCTTGCTTTGAGGGCTAGCCACTACTCTTCGATTAGAGCCAATCAGAACTTGGCGTTTTGACGTCACCACAACCCCTGCAAAAGAAGCAGACATACTTGCACTCCGCATATCATATCTGCCGTAAGATTAGAACTGGTGTTCCTTGCCACAAGCCAGAAAGTTAGCTTCACATATTTCTTTTATTAACCCAGCTGCAACGACTCCCTAGAAATATATACATGTCACACCAGATAGGAAGTTTGCCAATACAGCCATTTTTATTGGATATTGACATGAGTTTTCTTTTTGCCTTTGACAATGTGCGTCCAGGATTAAAATTGCATTACCTAGTTGCCTAAAATATTATATTTTCCTCTCCGTCTCTATGTTCAACTGCTGTTCTAGGTATTTTTATAGTGTTGCCAAGGTAAAATCTGAGCGTGATAGTATGTTTACGAAGCAGCCACCCATCGTTGTAATCAGTATGTTTTTCTCAGGCAAATAAAAGTGATCTGCAGCAATGTACCTGTGCCTTTGCTTGCGTTGCTGGCGCTGAAGAGTGCCCACATGAGACTGTGCTCGTTGTCGTTTCCGAGGTGATTGTTCGGACGTGCGTGCTGGAAAGTCGAACTTCGTCAGCACACCTCCTTTTCGGAGGTATCTCTTGTATCTCTTGCTGCCCAGCTGGTGAAAGCAGTCATCCTGAAAGTGTGCTGACTACAACTTGGAGTACTTGGTGGGTGTCCAGTCTTCGCAAGGCATTTCCTCCATCCACGCCCTCAAAAGTTCTGGATCTCCCAATGGGAACCTGTGACAGTATAGGAAAGTGTGGGTGGTGAAGTATCGAGAAAGCAATTTCCAAAACTATGTAAGTTTTTTTGTTTTTTTTTTTTGCTTTGCAGAATACATAAAAAAGTACTAATACCTCTGGTCAAGACGTGAACCCTCTTGATAAGTGTACAAAAAACGTTTTCTTTTATAGGGTTATTTGAGCTGCTCACTTTTAGGAAACTACTATAGGATAATGGTTATGTGTTGGTTTTACTACTAATATCACCTTCCTCTGGGTAGTTGCCATTAGATAAGAACGCCATACTTTCGAAGACAATCAATTCCCTTCTCTGGATGCATGAAAGTAAGTGAAGAAATCAAACATGTTTTCAGCATAGTGCAAGTTGTATTAAGATGCTTTCCCCAGAGAGCACGCTTGCAGCTCCTCATGAATGCGGGCTGTCTAGTCCGCTGCAACTCAAGGAGGTAGGGCGAGGGTGAGAATGGCCGGGGAGGAGGAAGCAGACAAAACGGTAAAGAGAGAAGGAGGTTTTCTTCTCTCTTCTCCAGCGTTCCGTCTGCTTCCTCCTCTCTTCTTCAGCGTTCCGTCTGTTTCCTCCTCCCCCGCATGTCTTACCCTCGCCCTACCTTCTCGAGCTGCAAAAGACTATAGATAGTTTAGCACGGTAGTACTTGTTAAAAAAATACGCGCAAAACGAAACATGTTTAGAATATTTGCATAGCCTCCAGAGCATTATGTAGCCATAATGTAGTAAAATTTAACTTACCCGTGAAACGTTACCTCCGAGTTCTGCTTACCCCTGTTGGTGCAGGTAATAGCAGCACACGAGTTTGTTTGTTTCATTTTGCGTGTACCGGTTATTTTACTGAATTAACGAAGTAAGAGAGCACGATCGATGTTTGAACCGAAAAACAAACAACAAAAGTCGTCTGCTATATTCAGGGACAGTGTATGTATCGGAAGGTAGGTGGTGTGCTCAGACAAAATAATTTCTTAAAATAAATTTTTACCGCTACAAAACCATGTAATGCAGGCATTAGAAAAATGTTCACACAGATAATAAAAAAACGTTGTGCGCTTTGAGAACTTTTGCGCGCGCAATAAATTCGTCTGCTTCATCGGCCCGCATTGGGTTTCATCCCGAATTCATTGAACACTTCCCTGTATCTGCGTGACGCGGTTTTGAAGCGGAAATAAGTTATTCTAAAAAGTGACAATACCCCATAACACGAGTACAGAGAGTGTTTACTGAATTATGGATGAAACACAAAGCGGGCCGATGAAGCAGACGAATTTTTTGCGCGCGCAGAAATCTCAAAGCGCAAAATGTTTTTTTTTTCTCTTTTGTTACAATTTTTAATGGCCCCGTTACATTATCTTGTTGTGGTAAAAATCTATTTTAGGAAATAATTCTGACTGAGCACACCACCTCAACCTTTTGATACAGATACTGTCTCTCAACAAAGCAGACGACTTTTGGTGCGTTTTTTTTTCATTTCATACCTCGATCGTCGCCTCGTCTTGCTCTCTTAAGGCTGAACCGCACGTAAGTGATTTGGCGAGCAACGTGACAAGCGACGGCGACAGCGACGAGAGTCAGCGACGAAGATTGCTCACTGTCGCTCGTAGCGTCGCTCTGTTTTTTGAATATCAATAAAATGTCTCTCATCGCGTTGATCGCTTGCTCCCGTCGCTTTCTTGCAGTTTGCCTCGACGCACGACTGACCGAGCGACAGCGAAGCCGGTCGCCATCGCTTATCTCGTCGCTCGCCAAATTGCTTACATGTGATTTCACACATCAAGCAGGGAAGACATGAGCGCGACAAAAACCGGCGCCGCGCGGCGATTCCCATAGAAACAGCCCAGGACGCTGTGACGTTGACCTATGCCAAGCCGCCACGTCACAGCGTCCGCGGAAGTTGCCATGGAAACTACCGCGCGGCGCTTGTTTTTTTCACTCATGTGGTTTTTTGGTTTACTTCGAATTGCCAATTTGGTGAATTAACGAGTAGACGCAAAAGCAAACAAACATGCCGAACACGTGTGCTGCTATGACCTGCACCAACAGGGGTAGGCAGAACTCGGCGGTCACGTTTCACGGGTAAGTTAAATTTTACAAGAGTTCGTCGCAACTCAAGAAGGTAGGGAAGGTAGGGCGAGGAAAAGGAAGGCCTGGGAGAAGGAAGCAGACGGAACGCTGGAGAGAGAAAGTGGTTTCGCCCTCATTTCTTCAGCGATCCGTCTGCTTCTTCTTCCTTTCCCTCGCCCTACTTTCTTGGGTTGCAACTGACTATACATTATGGTTACACAATGCTCTGCTGGCTATGCAAAGTTCAGAGCATGTTTTGTTTCGCGCGTATTTTTTTAAGCACCTTAGGTAGGGCGAAGGTAAGACATAGCCAGGGGGAGGAAGCAGACGGAACCCTGGAGAAGGGAGGAGGAAACCTCCTCCTCTCTTTAGCGTCCTTCTGCTTCCTCCTTCACGGCCATCTTCACGTCGCCCTTCTTGAGTTGCAACGGCTGCAAGCGTGCTCTGTGGGGAAAGCACCTTAATACAACCTGCATTATGCTGGAAGCATGTTTGATTTCTTCACTTACTTTCATGCATCCAGAAGGGGGAATTGATTGTCTTGGAAAGTATGGCATTCTTATCTAATGGCAACTCTCCAGAGGAGGGTGATATCAGTAGTAACACCAACACGTAACCATTATGCTATAGTAGTTTCCTAAACGTGAGCAGCTCAAATAACCCTATAAAAGAACAAGTTTTTTGTACATTTATGAAGAGGGTTCACGTCTTGACCAGAGGTATTAGTACTTTGTTTACGTATTCTGAAAAGAAAAAAAACTTTTATAGTTTCCGAAATTTTTTTTCTGATACTTCACCACCCACACTTTCCTATACTGTCACAGGTTCCCATTGGGAGATCCAGAACTTTTGAGGGCGTGGATGGAGGAAATGCCTTGTGAAGACTGGACACCCACCAGGTACTCCAAGTTGTGCTCAGCGCACTTTGAGGATGACTGCTTTCACCAGCTGGGCAGCAAGAGGTACCTCCGAAAAGGAAGTGTGCCAACGAAGTTCGACCCTCCGGCACGCACGTCCGAACGGTCACCTCGGAAACGACAACGAGCACAGTCTCATGTGGACACTCTTCAGCACCAGCAATGCAAGCAAAGGCAGAGGTACATTGCTGCAAATCACTTTTATTTGCCTGAGAAAGACATACTGATTACTACGATGGGAGGTTGCTCCATACACATACTATCACGCTCAGATTTTACCTTGGCAACGCTAAAAATACCTAGAACAGCAGCAGAACATACAGACGGAGAGGAAAATATGATATTTTAGGCAACTAGGTAATGCAATTTCAATCCTGGACGCACATTGTCAAAGGCAAAAAAAACCAAAAAACCATGTCGATATCCAATAAAAATGGCCGTATTGGCGAACTTCCTATCTGGTGTGACATGTATATATTTCTAGGGAGTCGTTGCAGCTGGGTTAATAAAGGAAATATGTGAAGCTAACTTTCTGGCTTGTGGCAAGGAACACCAGTTCTAATCTTACGGCAGATATGTTATGCGGAGTGCAAGTATGTCTGCTTCTTTTGCAGGGGTTGTGGTGACGTCAAAACGCCAAGTTCTGATTGGCTCTAATCGAAGAGTAGTGGGTAGCCCTCAAAGCAAGATGCCTTGTAGTCTGCCGACTATCCTTTAATTACAACCAATCAGAGCTTGGCGTTCCGACGCCACCACGACCCCTGCAAAAGAAGTCGATGAACCCGCGCTCCGCATTGCCAAGACAAAAATTATGCACCAAGAGAGCTGCCCTGTTTAAGATTAGGTGAACTGTTGTGATTCCGTTTTTTTTTTTTTTTTTTTGTTTTTTTTGCTGGCAGGTCTCCTCCTCCGGAGAGGCAGCCTGGCTCCTCTACCACTCAACCAAGCCCTAGGGAGGCTCCAGAAGCCAGCGCCGCCACTGGATCGGGAAGCAGTGCTAAGTCGACACTCGAGACCATGCCCGAACATCTGTCTGTGCGGTGTCACGAAGCCAGCACTGCCACTGGACCTGGAAACAGTGCGGAGTCAACACCTGATGCCACGCTCGAAGATGTGTGTGTGCGGCGCCACGCTTGTTCCGGCGATCACAACTATTCAGCTGTATCGCCACGACAGCACAGGGATCTTCTGCGTACCACTAGGCGGAAGCTGCAGAGAGCGAGAAAATTGCTTAAGCAGGCAAAAAAGAAGGTCAACAGAAAGACGGCCAGGATAAAGAAGTTGAACGTCCTTCTCCGAGAACTGAGAAGGAGGCTTCCTGGCTCAGCAGTCAACATTGTTGACAACATCTTCACAGACACGATGCGCAACCTTGTCCTGAGGAGATCCAGGAAACCAAACAACATGTACGCAGAGTATGTGCGCAAGTTTGCCCTCACGGTGCACTTTTACTCGGCAAAAGCATACAAGTTTCTGCGGAAGCACGTCAGGCTGCCACACCCGAGTGCTCCTCGCAAATGGGCAGCGGTGATCGATGGAAACCCAGGCTTCACCATGGAGTCATTCAACAGAGTAACACAAGAAGTCCAGAAGGGACGACTTCTAGTCAGCTTGATGGTTGACGAGATGAGCATCAAGAAACAAGTCGATTGGGATGGCAAAGAGGTCATCGGGTACTGTGACCTGGGCCACGGCATCCTAAACAACGACTGCGTCGCCTATGCCAAGCATGCACTTGTGTTTCTGGCGGTCGAGTCAACAAAAGCTGCAAAATCCCATTGGGCTATGCCCTCATCGACGGCCTGGACGGAAACATTCGGGCCAACCTTGTGCGCCAGTATATCACCAAGCTGGAGGAGGCCGCAGCAGAGTGCATCAGCGTGACGTGCGACGGCAGCAACTGCAACATTTCCATGTTGACAGCACTTGGAGTGTGCTTTGGCCCGCCGCTGAGAAGCTGGTTTCCCAACCCTTCTGACCCCTCCAGGAGGGTGTATGGACTCTTGGATGCCTGCCACATGCTCAAACTAATGCGCAACCTGCTCGCCGAGAAGCAATGCATCAGGAATGGGGCAGGTAGGGTCGTCGCCTGGAAATATCTCGAGGCCCTGGACAGCCTGCAGCAACAAGAGGGCCGTCATGCTGCCAACAAGCTGCGCAAGAAACACATTGATTTCCAGCGCCAAAAATTGAAGGTCTCCCTGGCGGCCCAAACACTGAGTCGGTCAGTGAGCTGTGCCTTGTTGTTTTGCAAGGAGAAGGGCATCCGAGGCTTCGAGGGTGTGGAGGCCACCGCAGAGTTTGCAGCAGCAGTCGACAACATCCTCGACCTCAGCAACTCCTGTCACCCCCTTGGACGTGGAAGCAAGGCCCCCATTCGAGCCGTCAACAAGGACGCCATGCTGAAACGAATTGACCAGGCTTGACACTACCTCCGAGGCTTGAAGGACTTCACGGGCCAGCCACTGAGTCAAGGAGCAAGGAAGACTCCAATCCTCGGCTTCCTGCTCGTCCTGGAGTCCATTAAGGGCCTTGCTGAAGACCTGGTCTGGGGCCCAAGCCCACCACTCAGGTGCCTGCTGACGAGGAAGCTGAGCCAGGACCACCTGGAACTGTTCTTTGCGACTGTCCGTAACAGGACGGGCAAAAACGACAACCCAATGGCACTCGAGTTCCGCTCTGCTTATAGGAAGTGCCTGGTCGCCAATGTCCAGTCCTCAACCCGAGGCAACTGCCAGGTTGACGGCACCGCAACACTCCTTGTCAGTTCGTCAGGTTGCCGCCAGCAAGTCCAGGCAAGAGATGAAGCTGCCACGAGCGAAGGAACCCATGAGACCACCTCCTACCAGCCACTTTCTCAGTTCGCTGAGTGCGTTGTCGAGTACATCGCAGGGAATGTGGCGGTAAACTTTGCAAAAGTAACCAAGTGTCCGGAATGCTCCAGAATTGCGCTGGTCACAAGCGACAAACGTGGTCTGGTGCTTGCCAAAGACGCTGGTGGCCTCGACAGCCCTTCCCAGGACGTCCTGCACTTGAGCACAATAGCGGAAAAGGTGCTTCGGCGAAACTTCGACAAGGAGGCCAAAAGGGGCCGAAACTGGCTTCTAAAGCTGCAGGCGGAGACAATCGGCATTGCCTCGAAGACCCCTCTTTTTAGGAGGTGTGATCATCTGTTTCTCGCTCAAACGATTGACCATCACTCCCACTGTGCTATCATGATGAAGACAATGCTGGAGTACTACTTCAAGCTGCGGATACATCACATGTGTCGTCAGCAAAGTGCCGCTGAAAGAGGGGTGGATCTCCGACAGCTTTTCACGAAGTTGGTCATCTTTCGAGGGCAGTAACAAGGCCATGGCTGCATTACGGCACCGAGGAAGAAGCACTAAGGACTTTCCCTCTTCAACAGAATGCATACATAAAGACGTGGTGGGACACACCAAAAAAACATGATTTCAGAAAAAAGCAACTTCTGAAACACTTTTACCGCCTCTGAATCTTTGCAGGCTACGAAGTTCAGAGAGACCAAGAGGCCTTTATAGTTTGACTGACCAAAGATTGTGACAGCTCAACGGCCACCAGCATTCGCCCGAAGGAAGGGGAGAAGAGTGGTGTTTTGTATGTTTAGACGGAGGGAAATCACTTAGCCCCAATGGACGTCAGCATCTCTGCTTAGATGACAACTTTAGCCAGTGCAGCACCACTGCTAGTCTAGGGGTCTTTAATAAGCATTACGCAGTAGGGAAATACGACTGGACGCCGGTGCAATGCTCATTGACATCAAAATGGGCAGAATTTGGGATTGAACACCAGACATCTGGGTTCTGTGGTTTGAGCTTTGACTGCACATACTCCACGCTGTGGTGCACAAACACACTCGGCCAACGATAAGCCTTCAGGAAACTTCACGCGAATGGGACACGGGCAGACAGAAACCTTGCACGAAACTCGCTGCAAGTCACGCGTCGTGAAGTGCAGAGAAGCTGCTTCGTTCCAGTGAAAAACTTGGTGATTTGGCGTCTGGCCGAGGCGGACACAACGGCAGTGGAGACACTCTGCAGGGCACCACTGCATTCATTTTGGGAGACACAGAGCTTTAGGGCAGCCGAAGGAAGAAGAGTTTGCACTGATGGGACACGGGCAGACAGAAACCTCGCACCAAACTCGCTGCAAGTCACGCGTCATGAAGTGCAGAGAAGCTGCTTCGTTCCAGTGGAAGACTTGGTGATTTGGCGTCTGGCCGAGGCGGACACAACGGCAGTGGAGACACTCTGCAGGGCACCACTGCATCCATTTTGGGAGACACAGAGCTTTAGGGCAGCTGAATGAAGAAGAGTTTGCACTGATGGGACACGGGCAGACAGAAACCTCGCACCAAACTCGCTGCAAGTCACGCCTCGCGAAGTGCAGAGAAGCTGCTTCGTTCCAGTGGAAGACTTGGTGATTTGGCGTCTGGCCGAGGCGGACACAACGGCTGTCGAGATACTCTGCAGGGCACCAATGCATCCATTTTGGGAGACACAGAGCTTTAGGGCAGCCGAAGGAAGAAGAGTTTGCGCTGATGGGACGCGGGCAGACAGAAACCTCGCACAAAACTCGCTGCAAGTTACGCGTCGTGAAGTGCAGAGAAGCTGCTTCGTTCCAGTTGAAGACTTGGTGATTAGGCGTCTGGCCGAGGCCGACACAACGGCTGTCGAGATACTCTGCAGGGCACCAATGCATCCATTTTGGGAGACACAGAGCTTTAGGGCAGCCGAAGGAAGAAGAGTTTGCACTGATGGGACACGGGCAGACAGAAACCTCGCACCAAACTCGCTGCAAGTCACGCCTCGTGAAGTGCAGAGAAGCTGCTTCGTTCCAGTGGAAGACTTGGTGATTTGGCGTCTGGCCGAGGCGGACACAACGGCAGTGGAGACACTCTGCAGGGCACCACTGCATTAATTTTGGGAGACACAGAGCTTTAGGGCAGCCGAAGGAAGAAGAGTTTGCACTTATGGGACACGGGCAGACAGAAACCTCGCACCAAACTCGCTGCAAGTCACGCGTCGTGAAGTGCAGAGAAGCTGCTTCGTTCCAGTGGAAGACTTGGTGATTTGGCGTCTGGCCGAGGCGGACACAACGGCAGTGGAGACACTCTGCAGGGCACCACTGCATCCATTTTGGGAGACACAGAGCTTTAGGGCAGCCGAAGGAAGAAGAGTTTGCACTGATGGGACACGGGCAGACAGAAACCTCGCACCAAACTCGCTGCAAGTCACGCCTCGTGAAGTGCAGAGAAGCTGCTTCGTTCCAGTGGAAGACTTGGCGATTTGGCGTCTGGCCGAGGCGGACACAACGGCTGTCGAGATACTCTGCAGGGCACCAATGCATCCATTTTGGGAGACACAGAGCTTTAGGGCAGCCGAAGGAAGAAGGGTTTGCACTGATGGGACGCGGGCAGACAGAAACCTCGCCCCAAACTCGCTGCAAGTTACGCGTCGTGAAGTGCAGAGAAGCTGCTTCGTTCCAGTTGAGGACTTGGTGATTAGGCGTCTGGCCGAGGCAGACACAACGGCTGTCGAGATACTCTGCAGGGCACCAATGCATCCATTTTGGGAGACACAGAGCTTTAGGGCAGCCGAAGGAAGAAGAGTTTGCACTGATGGAACACGGGCAGACAGAAACCTCGCACCAAACTCGCTGCAAGTCACACCTCGTGAAGTGCAGAGAAGCTGTTTCGTTCCAGTGGAAGACTTGCCGATTCGGCGTCTGGCCGAGGCGGACACAGCGGCGGTCGAGATACGCTGCAGGGCACCACTGCATCCACTTTGGGAGACACAGATCTTTAGGGCAGCCGAAGGAAGAAGAGTTTGCACTGATGGGATAGGGCAGACAGAAACCTCGCACCAAACTCGCTGCAAGTCACGCCTCGTGACGTGCAGAGAAGCTGCTTCGTTCCAGTTGAAGACTTGGTGATTAGGCGTCTGGCCGAGGCAGACACAACGGCTGTCGAGATACTCTGCAGGGCACCAATGCATCCATTTTGGGAGACACAGTGCTTTAGGGCAGCCGAAGGAAGAAGAGTTTGCACTGATGGGACACGGGCAGACAGAAACCTCGCACCAAACTCGCTGCAAGTCACGCGTCGTGAAGTGCAGAGAAGCTGCTTCGTTCCAGTGGAAGACTTGCCGATTCGTACTCTGGCCGAGGCGGACACAACGGCTGTCGAGATACTCTGCAGGGCACCACTGCATCCATTTTGGGAGACACAGAGCTTTAGGGCAGCCGAAGGAAGAAGAGTTTGCACTGATGGGACACGGGCAGACAGAAACCTCGTACCAAACTCGCTGCAAGTCACGCGTCGTGAAGTGAAGAGAAGCTGCTTCGTTCCAGTGGAAGACTTGCCGATTCGGCGTCTGGCCGAGGCGGACACAACGGCTGTCGAGATACTCTGCAGGGCACCACTGCATCCATTTTGGGAGACACAGAGCTTTAGGGCAGCCGAAGGAAGAAGAGTTTGCACTGATGGGACACGGGCAGACAGAAACCTCGTACCAAAGTCGCTGCAAGTCACGCGTCGTGAAGTGCAGAGAAGCTGCTTCGTTCCAGTGGAAGACTTGCCGATTCGGCGTCTGGCCGAGGCGGACACAACGGCTGTCGAGATACTCTGCAGGGCACCACTGCATCCATTTTGGAAGACACAGAGCTTTAGGGCAGCCGAAGGAAGAAGAGTTTGCACTGATGGGACACGGGCAGACAGAAACTTCGCACCAAACTCGCTGCAAGTCACGCGTCGTGAAGTGCAGAGAAGCTGCTTCGTTCCAGTGGAAGACTTGGCGATTTGGCGCCTGGCCGAGGCGCACAACGGCTGTCGAGATACTCTGCACGGCACCATCGCGTTTATTCCGGGAAACAAAGAGCTTTGGCGCAGCCGAAGGAAGAAGAGTTTGCACTAAAGGAACACGGGCAGACAAAAGCCTAGCACCAAACTCGCTACAAGGCACGCGTCGTGAAGTCCAAAGAAGCTGCGTCGTTCCGGTGGAGGACTAGGCGATTTGGCGACTTGCTGAGGCGACACAACGGCAGTCGAGACACTTTGCACGGCACTATCGCGTAGATTCCGGGAAACACAGAGCTTTGTAGCAGCCGAAAAAAGAAGAGTTCGCACCAATGGGTCACTGGCAGACAGAAACCACTCACCGAACTCGCTACAAGGCACGCATCGTGAAGTCCAATGAAGCTGCTCTGTTCCGGTGGAAGACTGCGACGGCAGGGTGATTTGGCGACTGCAATAAATCCCGACAGGGTTTCTCCAGTGGACTTGAGTTGCTTGCTGTCGTTCCAAAATTGTTCTTCCACGCGTGATGCACACAGCAAACCTGTGATGTTCAACTGACGTTCAAACAACGCTTGGCGATTACCGACCAACGTGCGGCTCATTTTGTAT